TTCCTTGTATACTACCCCTTCCGACCGTAATAGTAATGTCATAGCTGCAGCTATAATCCTTCTACCCAAGGCACGCATGAACGACTCTGCGTATCGAGATAAGCTCGAGCTTGGGAACCCTGAGTAATAATATCTGCAAGCCATCATGGGCGAAACCGAATCGTCCACGCCTCGCTCCACCGCCGAACCACAGCTCAAGGCGGCCAAGGACAAGAACTGTCCCTTTTGCGGCCAGGCCTTCACCTCGTCCAGCCTGGGACGCCATCTGGACCTGTACATCCGCCCCAAGAACCCAAAGGCGCCCGATGGCGTGCACAATGTCGACGAGATACGGAAGCTGCGAGGCGGCATCACACGGCGGCAGGCCAAGGGCAGCGTGTCAACACCGCGGAGAGACGACAGCGGCACGAGCACGCCCGCGAACAAGAAGCGCATAGCGAGCGAGGATTCGGTCCTTGTGCAGAGCCCGGAAGACGACGATGAGCCGCTCGAGGTGGGCAAGACGAGGGGGCAGTTCAAGGATGTCAGCTGGGGAAGCGGCCACCGGCCCTCACGACTCAACACCAAAACACCAGACCCGCGCCGGGACGTGTCGCGGCAGTCGCGAAAGGCCGAGCTGGACCAGAGGCAGAAGTCGAACGAGGAGAATGAGATTGCGAGTGCCACCGAGATGGCGCTGCGGGAGCTGCTGAAGAGCGTGCAAGTAGCCAAGTATGTCACCAATTCACTCACCATATATCCTGCTAACAGACACAGCGCAAAAGCATCTGGCTCCGGCCTCTTCGAATTCGACCCCTACACCCAGAGCTTCCCCTCGCTGTGCCTTCAGATCCTCCCCGCGCCCTCTACCCTCTTCTCCCCCACGCCCTTTCCCACGTCCGAGTCATGGTCCATCACCCCGCCGGGACAGAAGCAGTTCGAAGCGCTGAATAAGCAGGTCCGCGAGCGTCTGCTTGCCTACCAGCGGCAGCGTCAGATTAACCAGGTCTATCCCTCAGGCTCGCACTCCTCCGCTCCTTCCACCAACACCTCGCCCCTGCCCACCCCACCGCTCTTCGACCACGACCCACAGCGCCTCTTTGGCCACATTGCAGACGCCTTCCACCACTGGACACAGCAGTCAGACAAGACGAGGCAGGAGTGCTGGCAGGTTGAGATACTGCGCTGCTATGCCCGTGCCGACGACAGGCGACGGGAAGCCGAGGTGCAGCTGGGGAATGCACGCAGGGAAATTGAATACCTGAAAGCCAACCGCTGGACCTCAGGCGCCCCCGATGTGTCGCCCATCAGCATCAACCTTGGAACCGACACGGCTAGGGAGCTTGCTAAGCACGGCATGGACTACCGCAACTGGGACTACGACCGCCTCATCGACAAGTGGCGGACCGCTATACGCGAGAACAGGGCCTCGGTCTCTGGTATGGGCGCGCAAAAGCCATTGCCCGGTGGTACCAGTACCAGAAGCTGCTCCATGGCTAGCATCCCACCACAGTTTGCTACCGTGAACCAGCCCAGGCAAGGCAGCCCGATCAAGGTTGAGTCTAACATGCCCTTTAGCGCGCCGCCCACCGTGTGTGGTGATGGAGATTGCGATCAGGTTGATGCGGAAGGCGACGATGATGACGACGACATTGACCTGACACCCCAAACTATTGAGGAAGATGACTCGATGCATCAGATGCAGCATCAGGCCCAGCAACAGGCCTTGCACCACCCCCAGCCCCAACATCACCACGGAGCACCCCTCCAGCCCACCCCGCCACATCCTTCGCAACAGCAGTTTCAGCCACACATGCAACCCACCCAGCACATCACGCAGGCCCAGATCGCCCAAGCGCAGGCTCAAGCCCAAGCATGGGCAGCCGCACGTCAGCACATGAACCAGTCGCGCAACCAAGACTTCCGGCCCCACCAGCAGCACCAGCTCTCGCCCCATGTGCAGCACGTCGGCTCAGCTGACAGCAGTCGCCGAGAATCGCTAGCCATGATGGACCCCCACGCCATGAACCAAAACAACATGAGCGGCATGGGCAACTCCATGGGCATGTCAAGCGGCATGGACGGTCTCGACAGCCACCAAGACCAATTCCTGCGCATGGACATGGGCATGTCAACGGGCTTTGTCGGTTCCAACGACCCCAGCGTCTCGATGGGTTGATCGAACTCGAGAGACTGTTTGATGCTGTTCATTACACCAAAGACAGCAAAAATTGTCACCAAACCGGCGTCGGACTCTTCGGGCAAAGGCGTAACGTGATACACGGAACGCGATACATGGAACAGTCCACACTCTACAGCGATATTTCCCTTTTCTCCATCTCCGACATATCTCATATCTACCGCAAATTTTCATTTGTCTTTCTTATCTTTCTACAACTACTACTCAGCTCGGCTTTTCGCTATACCCATTATACCCAGCCTTGACAGCTTGATACCCCCAGTTCAATTTCCTTTATCCTGTATCAACCAGAACGGTACTTTTTGCCTACCGCAACATTTCTTACACATATATACGTACTAATAAGCCTCTTCTCCTCTTTCTTCTTTTTTTGTACTCAGCTATCGAGATTGTTATCAGCATCGTTCTTGTTTTTCCTATGTAGATGTCTACACACATATGCCTTCGTTGGCACTGGCGGGCAAATGTCGTTAGTTGCACCGTAAACTTGGGAGGTCTTTTGTGCTGTTTTAAGTTGTATATACCCAACACCAAACTTTTCACTTGTTAGATATTAGAGAAATATGGGGGGTGGATTGGATAGGATGGGAGGTGGAGTGGGTGGAAGAATCGATTATACTAAAATCTTGGATGTGTTTAGTCTTTTTGTCTTGGGACTATGAGGATTTTGTGTGTCCTGCTAATGTCTGGCAGAACGAGATGAGACATTCCGGGTGCAACCGTATGTCATCGCCGACGCAAGCAGTGTGAATGAATCCGATAACAAAGCTAAGATGGTGCCCTCATCCTCATCAACATCATCCACACGAGGAGGACACAGACGCCCCCGTCATACCCCGACGCAAACAACTCAGTCGAAAGACGACATCCAGAATCAAAACAAGCGCTGTGCATTCGTCCTGAGTCCGTCAACAGCAAAGCCGTCCCGTCACATACAAGAAAATAAGCCCTGTGACGAATACCAAGAAAGCTGCCAGCGTTCCCACCCCCATCTCAGCACCACAGGTGGTCTAGCTGCCTTGATACGGAGTCAGCGGTCTTCATTGCTGCATCGCGTAAATCGCGCAAATTGGTAATAATGTAGCGGAGTCGTCTTTTACGGCAACGTCGTTTCCCGTCTGCGCAGAGGGTGAGGCGGAGGGTTGATCGGGCGTAGAGGATGCGTTTGCGGAAACGTGCGAGGGGGGGCATGGTGATATGGAGCCTGGAGGAGCAGTGTAGAAGTGGGGAAGGATGAGAGAGTGTTGGCGGATTGGAAGGTAGACATAGGTGAAGTTTGGTGTGGATTTCATGGGCGTATGGAGATGCGCCTGGATGGGGCATGTGATGCGAGTTGTGGACTGGTGACGAAGGCACCGGAACGGTGTATTGACGACACAAACTGCTGAACGGAAGTCGAAATTCGCGTTCACATTTAGAGCGTCATGCTTTTACTGCTGATCAATCTCAACTGGGTTGAAATCAGAATTGAAAAACTTGACGGCATGTCTGGAGCACCACGTGGAAACCGAGGAAACAGTATCGGCCGGAGGGGAAGGAGTTCCATTAACTTCGGTTACGGTGGAAGAGGTAGAGGAAGCTTCAATAACACTTTGAATGGCGGAGCGCTCAATACTTTCGAAGGTGGAAGGGGTAGAGGAGTTGGCAACGGCCTTCCGGTCGGAGGCATGGGGAGTGGTACTAGGAGAGGAGAGCCATCGTCCGTTCCAAAGCAGAATGCACAGATCAAGAAGGACTGGTTCAAAGAGAATCGGGTACCCAAGGGGCCCAAAGCCGACCAGCAGAAGACGGAGGAGGTATCGGCCGTCCCACAACGAGATACACAACCCGAAAACGACCGGATCAAAGAGATTCAGGACCTGATACCCACGGAACCAAAAGCTGACAGACTGGCGAGGAAGCGACAGGCAGAAGCCAGATTCGTTCCAGAACAAGACGCACATACCAGGAATGATCGGATCAACGAAAATCAACACAAGATACCCACGGAGCCGAAAGCTGACAGACTGGCGAAGCGTCGGCAAGCAGAAACCAAACCAGATCTCTACAAAGATGCCGCAAGACGAGCATACCACCTTCTCCGTCCTATACAGAAGCATCCACGCCGGGAAAGCATAGACCATCCTACCCCGATATACCGTCGTTCACGCTCACCCGAAGAAGAACGAGAATTTCTCTCTTCTTTCCCTCCACTTCCCTCATCACCAGCAGCGAACCCACTTCCACCGCCGCTGAACCAACCACCAACATCTGTCACCCATCTGCCGCTCCATCGGCGAGACCTGCCGGAAGGGTGGCGTGTTCGACCATGCCTACGGAGAGAACATTCCGCAAGGTAAGCGCGGATTCAATGTCAACTCCATCGGGCTCAATGGAGGGCGACGATGGCAATCTCTACGATCCGAATAAGACTGAAGAGGAGAAAGAGAAGATACGGCAGGAAATCAATGAGCATAATAGGGGCCTATTGGATCCGCCATGGTCCGGTCCAAACCTGGATCCTGAGATGCGAGATATTGAGCGTGGTTAGATCGGTATCTCATACGCTGTTTCCAGTGAAGCTGGATGAAGCAATCTCATCACACCTATGTATACAAGATGATCACGTCTCTCGCGAATGTTTGAGCTCTTGCAATGTCGATAAGAAAGGTACTGTGCCGATAAGTGAAGGTCACCGAGACGTGCCTTCCTCAACCTTGAGGGTGACTGCCCCTTCAACAATCCCATGACAGCATTTTCCTCTTTCAGCCCATGACGTCCGAAACTTACGATGGCAGCTCATTTGCGCCTGCCATCAACGACGACAACCATTCCAACCCACATGAAGTCACTTCCGCATTCCCGCCTTCACCTCTTCTACATTACTGTTACCGCCGTGCATCACTCAGCGTACGACATTCTCGCAAACAGTTCCTTCGAATCACACAGCATGACGGCTACCACTACAGAACAGACGACTACTACAACCATTAGCAAGCATGGAACGGCGAAGAAGTGGCTGCAACGGCATCTTCGCAAAGTGGCATCGCGACAGACGCTGAAGAACGATGAGGGACCAATTGAGATACGGCGAAAACCATCAGTCAGGCGGCCGCGTACGGCACCTTCAACAGGAGCGACACCGAGCCTGCAAGACGCACCAGCAGTACCCCCGCTCCCGATACTTGTAGAGCGGGTGTCGCCTCGACCGCCGGTTCTACCTCCTCTCCGTCCAGCGAGACCCGATTCTGGCGTGATACGGGACGTCAATGCATGGCTCGATGCTAGCATGAATACGCCTTCACCCCCGCTCATGGGAGGCCTTTCGTATTGGAGAGCAGCGACAAATGTAGGTACCAAAGACTCCGCAGTGGCTCAGCACGCTATCCCCGTGGTTGGAGCACCCGAAGTCGTCAGACCATCGACAGCCACCAGTCAACACGGAAAGTCGTTCCTTCGTTGCGCCAAAAAGATGCAGGTTCAGATGCCTTCGCTTTTACGAACCAAGTCTCAGCGCCAGGCATGTCGGAAGCAAATCAACAGACAGTCAGCATCGATGCCACTCTTAGCCATCTCCTACGAGGACGTTGCGGAAGCCCCTGGTACCATGCTCATGTCCCGATCTGGATCGCTTCGTCGCCCCGTCACAAGGCCATCGACACGACATCCTTCGACGCGCGCCAGTGCGCTTCTGTCAATCGACCAACAGTCGCAGCTACCCTCCCGGATGGGCACCCCAGCGAGTGCACGACTCGGCGATACAGAGAGCGTGTTTGAGCGCCGTCTTAACGCCATATTCATGCGCACGGCACGAAGCGCAGACAGCACCCGGCCATCGACAGCAGCGGCCGGTCTCATCCGCGAAGACTCGATGGGCGACCTCTCCGACGCCCCGACATACTTCTCGGGACCTCCACCACCTTCCTACCGGTCGCGCCCCGAGTCTCTGCTCAGCACTTCTTCGTTCGGCTGCATCGATGGCATGAACCCTACACAGCGACAGATCAGTCAGCAGCGAGCGGCATTACAACGGGGAATGAGGTGCAAGCTGAAGAGATTCGCTCAGGGACTTGCGACATGAGAAGCGACGACAAGGCAGACGCGAGGTGAGACACGAGACCACGATGATGACTGACGAAGGGATGACCGGAAGACACATACCATATATGAGTACATGACTATACGACTGTTTATCTTGGAGAGCTGGCATCTTCATACCCATAACAGGGAGGTTGACTCTTTCAGTCGGTACACTGAGGAATGCGCAAGGCGCGCGGTATTTAGCACAACTACATCAGATATAACGTAGGGTCTTAGTTTATAGTGATAATACAGATACAGCACAGGATGTGTCGTGCAGTGATGTTGGAATGCGCGGTAGTGAAGAGGCAGTGTGAGGTGAGAGCACGGTCATATGACGTGGGGACGGGCCGCGGTGAACCTAAAGCGGTTGGGGCGTTTTCACCGCCTACTCATTTGATGGCCGGGCATGGACTCCACCATCTCCATCAACATCATTGGGCCCAACGTGGCACGCTGTACCACGTCTAACGCTCCAACGCACACAATTGAATCTCCATGGCCGCCCGTTGATCCGCTCGGCTGCCAGCACAACGAAACCCAGCTGGCTGCTCCACTCGACTCCTACGATCCGCAGACTTGCATCATTACGTGCAGCTCCCACAGCCAAACGGCTCCCCGACCTCACCTCCCTCGACACGCGCGTGAACGTAAGCATGGCCTCAGCAGACGACTCTAATTCGCGGCCCCAGCGGCCAGCCGCCATGACCAGACAGTCGTCGTCGCAGTCGCACATCTCGCAGTCGCCGTCCGAGGGCGCCCAGCGCTCAGCCCATCACAAGAGCCAGCGCCATCATGTCGTCGGCCAACGCGTGCAGCGGAATACGTCCTTCGGCAAGAACCTCAACAAGCTGAGCAAAGCCGAGAAGCAGGCCCAGCAGGCGCTCCAGGGCGCAGAAAACACGGGGCGACACCACCGCCGCTCGCAGTCGGGCAATTCCATTTCGGCGCCTAGCAGCCCACACGCGCGTCCCGGAATGAAGCGCCATGCGTCTTCCGGCGCCGTTGTGAGAGCAAACACGCAGCAAGCAAACCTGCGCAAAAACCACTCGAGCGGCCATCTCCCGCCGCGGCAAGGGCATGCGAAACACGCGCTGAAGGGGTCTAAGAACGAGAACGCTACTTCCAAGCGTGCGCTCGCGACTCCCTCTCGATCTCGGCAAAGTTCTCCGGAGCCACACGCCGCGGTCCACTTTGACATGCCCAATGACGACGAGGAAGGAGACGAGGGCGGGTGGACCGAAGAGAGTGCGTCACAGTCGCCCACTACTACCCGATCCAACACACGCTCCAACTCGGTCATACTTGAGGCACAACACAGAGCGGCGGAGATCAACATGGAGAAGAACAGAGGAGAGTCGCAACACCCGGCCGGCACAGCTCGAGAAGCGCCCAGCCAGGCCACTCAGACGCTCACCGACCGCACGCGCACAAACACGCAGGTCAACGGCGGGAGCTCCTATCAACATTCTCGGCCTCCAGATGCGGACATGATCACATCGCGACTACTACAGCGCAGCGCCTCACACCATGTCGCTCCCCAGACATCGTCAGTCGCTGCGACCGTCGTATCCTCCTCCGATCGTCATAATCTGCTCAGTCACACAGCTGGGTCTGTTGGATCTACGCTGGTAGACACGCCGGGGAACAACCTGGTATCGCGCTTCATGGACGGAGACGGTTCCGCAGGGACACCTCACGATGGCGAGTACATGGCTGCGCATCAGCTCAAAGACGATACCGATGAAGGGGAGGTGGACAAGATCAAGCGCAACAAATCAATGCCAAACTTCAAGGGCGGCGCGGACACACCCTCCAAGACGCCTCAGCGCTCTGGCGCGACTACACCAACCAACCTACCCCCATCGCGGACACAGCAGAAGCTCATGCTTCAACGTGCGTCGTCCAACATTGAACCGCAGAAGCTCGTTCCCGTAACGCTTCCCCGCACGGGCGGTCCCACATACCTTCAGTCCAGCATCCACTACAACGGCAATGGTGAGGGGCGCCTAGATCCACGCCTGCAGCAGCAGTTCAACCACGTCGCGGTCGAGTACAACGTCGTGCGAAGATACCGCAACCCAATTGCAGACGCGCTTGCACGAATCTACCAAACGCCTGGCATGTCACGCAAAATCCGCGTACCCAAGTCGCACGGCGCAAACGGCTTCACGACAGGAGCCAGCAGCCTGAGCACAAGTTTCAACGAAAGCGGCGTCGAAACAGATGGGACGGGCTCGCGGAGATCACGAGTCAGTTTCGACCATGATGCAGGTCGCGGCAAGACTAGTCGCGACGAGAACGACTTTCAACAGAGTTTCGAGAGTGACCAGGCGCGCAGCCGAAACGAAGCCGAGGAGATCTGTCGCCGTTTATGGGAGAGTGCCGAAGTAGTCGAAGCCGACTGAAGACAATAGTGTGGTTTGTTTGGCGCACGGCGCTGATCAAACATTCACGACTCGCAGCGCGACGCTCTGTTGTTTGCGTCTTTGCGACTATTGTGTGAGGGATTGCCGAGACTGTTTTACTGTCCAGGTTCGTGCGTTCGCTTGCTTCCCTTTCTCTGCATTTTGCCGTAGTCTGCGCTGGGGGATGAGGGAATGAGCGTCTTTGTTCTCCCATCGTGGACTGCACGCACGGGTTGCTATGGCGCAAGGGAGGCTTTGTCTAGTCTGGCTGGAAACAGCATGGTGTTGGGGAAGAGGGCATTTGCGAATATTGTCGCGCCGGCAATGAAGCCGAAGAGGCATGCATGAAAGTCGTGGTGGTGGTGGTCGTTGCTGCTGCTGCATTTGCATTTTGCGCTCAAACTAACTTTTTGCGCGTGGCACAGAGTCGTGGTTCCCCGTCCTAAACCTTGCCGACTGGCGGAGGCGTTTGGCATGACACAACACACAACACACAACACACAACACACGACCGTTGGTTCGATCGAGGAAAACGAAAGCGAGTGCGATGGAAGATGATTTATTGTCAAATTTGCGCGCGCGCGCACCCTCGATTTTCAATCTGCCGTCCGCGACCCAATTGCAAGCATGCGAGCCTCCTAAGGTCGATTGCACAGGCGCGCGACTTGCTTGGCTTGAATTGCTTTCATTTGAGAAAGAGCGGAAGTTAGGAGCTGGACTTGCAATGGCGTTGCGCAGGGCTTCAATGCGATGGATGGGTCACGATGCGAAAGGCGGAAATGAGACAAGAAAGAAAGCCCATATTGTGTACTAGTAATGGTAGGGGTAGTGCTGCGGGCTAGGTAGGGAGCCAATCATGCGGCATGCTCGCTTGTGTAATTGTAATTTCAATTCTAGCAGCGGAAGATCGTTACCTGTTCCTGTGTGTCAGTGGGTTTTTTTATTTTCCTTCACGAGATGCGAGTTTGCATTGATGGTGATGTGTTGGCGAGCGCATCTGGACGCTTCACATGCTACTGTGAAGATTACTTTGAGTCACAAGATGCATTGCATTGCGTGCATGTGTTGAGCAGTACTACGCAAGCAAACTCTTTGCAAGAAATTCTCTACACAGTTCCACACCACCATAGCAATTCTCTCATCGCTCGCTTGCTTCGTTATTGACCGTCTCTTCCGCGTTCAGCCCGCCAAAGTGTCCAGGCAATGATAGCCTCGTCTTACCGCCGTCCACGTTGTTAACCTCACCCCGGGTCTATAGATGGCATTATGGGATGGGTCTGAGACGGCGGGCGCTGGTTGGCTTACCGTGTTACCCAGAACACATGTCGCAACGGGTAGCGTGCCACGAATGCGCGAGCTGAGGAAAGGTGCGGTGTAATAGCACGACGAAATTTGTCGTGCTGGCTCCAGTCGCGTTTCCGCCCTGAGTGGCCCGCCCGCCCGGTGTACAGCATCCAGCAATCGTGCTGGCCTAGCTGCCTCCAGTCGCGTTTCCGCCTTGGAGGCCGACAGACGGCACGATTCGCTGCGCATTGTTTCAGCGTCCGTGCGGGCGAGGCGCGACAACTGTGGACTCAGGCTACTCGGGCTGGAGTAGGAATGTGGAACGCATGGGGTGAGAGAAGTTGCCTGGGGTGATGGCCGTTGAAACTTGGTTGCACCTTGAGCATGGTGAGGATCATGGGGCGTGAACCTTGAGTTCGCAGATGGGCGATGACAGCATCTCACCTGGGCAGAGACTTTCCCAAGGTTGCCCCTAGCGATGGGAGTGAGAAGTGAGGTCACCACCCGCCCGTCACGAGGATGCAGCAAGCGTGCAGCACGTTGGCCGTCGAGTGGGTACCTCGGTAGTTCAGGCCCAGCGCTGCACCTCAGGCCAACCACAGGAGCTTGCGCGGACTGGGATGCAGTGCAGAGATTTGCCGTGGCCGCCCATTGCCAAGCGCCAGATCGGCAGCTTCCTTGCTCAGGTACTCCCGTTAGCACGCCCGAACCTGCGTTAGCGCGCCCAGGGGACCGAAATTGCGCTTTGGCAGTGGGAAATTGCACTGGCGGCAAGGATGCCAGGGACACGATACAAGGCGCCGGGGGCAGCCCACCTGGGTCTGCCCGTTGTTTCCCCCTTCACCCTCCTCAAACGTTGCGAGACAAACCCTCTTTTACTCTCTCTTCCTCGAGACTTACGATCTTTTAAAGCTTTAAGCTTACCCACACTCATTACATTGACAAGTACTATCCTTGATATCTCACTCTCTCTATCACTTGGTCCAAGACTATCCACACTGCTCTCTCGCATTCCAAACAAAAACAAAGCACTGTCGCTCATCTTACACGCACCTGCATAACACTTGCAACTCACCATTCTTCTGATTCGACATCGAAGCACTGCGCTTTCACAGTCGCATATCTCACCACCACAACTACTACCGTCCTTCACCACCAACCACCAAACCAACCACTAAAATGCGCTCCTTCACCCAAATCATCACCGCGCTCTTCGCGCTCCTCGTCTGCGCCTTCGCCCAGGAAGACCAGTACGACGCGACCGTCTACATCACCTCGACCGTCTACCGCGTCAACACCGTGACCGCATCCTCGTCATCCCCCGCCGGCTACACCGCCGCAAACAGCACCAGCACCATCTCCGCCACGCACCCCACCATCGTCCCCTCGTACGCCGCCGGCAACACCACCGCCAGCATGGCCATGCCTACTGCCTCCGGCCCCATGGCCAGCGTCTCCGCTTCCATGCCCCCTCAATTCGAGGGCGCTGCTTCTTCGCTCCAGATCAACAGTCTTGTTGTTGCGCTCGCGGCTGGTGTCGGGTACCTCGTTCTATGAACGTGAGATTAACGGTTTTTCGCCATCATCGACTGGCAGCGCATGTCTTTGATTCAACCCACACCCTTTTTCTCATGTTACATTGTTTTCTAAACAACACCCATATCACGAGGATGTATGTCCGTTTACGTCTTGTCCCTGCCTTCTGTTTGCGCTTTGCATCATACCCCCTTTTTTACTTTCCCTGGACTTGTCCACGGAACCTTTGTTCTACGTTCTAGGATTACCGAATCCTCCTGTCACATTACCCACACACACTCCTTTTGTAATCACACACTATCTTTCTCTTGTCTGCGACGATTGACGAAACTTCGTGGGATTATACATCAACAACTACTGGGTAATACTGGAGCTTTGGAATCTTGCCTTTGTTTGCGGTCGACCAACATTTTCTTTTGTTGAGTTGGTCGACTTTCTGTTTTGTTATACCCCCCCTTTTAGGCGCGCGACTAGGACGCTGCTATGCGGATGCGAATGCGAAAACCATCACATACTTTCTGGAGGTCCATACTTTGTACTTGGTTGAACGCGGCTTGCCGCGCACCTCCGATTGTGTTTTCGCTTGCTTTCTGCTGCGCGATTCGCTGCCTACTTCTCTGGTGGAGCTGGAGTTTGGTGATACCCCGATACCTACTTTTTTTTGAGAGAGTGCGATTTAGCTTGGTGTTTTGAGAGATTGCTGTGGATAGCATAGGATAGCTTAGTATAGTTGAGAACGAAGAACTACTTGTTCCATCGATTTGACTCTTTCTTGATCAACGTGAATGTATGCTTCCCAAAAAAAAGTACATCGTGATCCCAGAATTCCCGTATCTTCACCGCCTATCCTTCACCTCACCTCACCTACTCCCCAACCGACCACAGCATCAATCTCCCATCCTCCTATCCGCTCGGCACCCATAGCCGAACACCTCCCCACAGTCTCGCTTCTAGACCTCCGTGCCCTGGTGCTAGCAATCGTCTAGCTCATGCTTTGTCCACTCATTCTTTCTTTCGGTCGCTGCCGTAATAGCGATCGACATGTTCGGCTGTTTTTCTCTTTGACCGTCTCGGAACCGCGAACTATTCGGTGATATCCGGTTTACGGTGGGTACGGTCGCTTTCGTGATTTGAGTCGAAATGGGGCTGTCGGAAGTGGGTTGGCATGATGGAGTGGGGAGATGAGGGTTGGTGATGATTGTGGGTAGGTAAATGCGGTTGGATGTAGTTTTGGCAGTTGCGATGGAGGCACGCTGATGGCATTGCTTGCGCAATAGAGACTGAAAGAGAGGTTTCTAAGTTGTTGCGTATATGTTGCAATGTAAGTTTGCAGTAGTCTATCGTATGGACTGTCCTGCTGGATTGACGACTAGTCGCACGTGCTCAGTTTGGCGACGGGCATGGAAACAAGAGGCCTTCGAGGGAGCTCTCAATCTATTATATTGGGTTCCTGGAGTTTTGCACTGTCTTCAGTTCTGCTTTCGTGTGTCTTTGCACATGCCAATTCGCTTTTTGGAAACATGTTCCCTTCCCACACACCCCCTCCCGTCCCCAACAATCACCGATAACTCCCCCCCACCGGCCCCTCCAACCCAAAACAATTCGCAAAATAACTCACCGTCCCCGCCCAATCCGTAAAAAGCCCCTTAACCCCCACCTCCCTAACCAGCACATCCAGCACCTCATAGTACTGCCCATCATGATCCACCACATCCGCCACACTCGCGAAATAGTACTCCCCGTCCCTCTTCACATCCGCCAACGGCCCGCTCCTTTCAAACGTCCAAGCGATAATATCCATGTCATTCGCTTTAATCGCTTTCGCGTACTCGCTTTCCACGATGGTGGCGTTGTCCGACCCGCCGATAGATAACAGCATGGGGAGGGATGGCGCGATGATATTCACGCCTGCGGCACGTGCGGTGGATAGGTTTGCGAATCCGGCGGCGAGGTCAGCCGGTGTATCAAACTCCTGCAGGTAAACAGCCTGAGCACCAAACTCCTCATCATGATTAATCCAATACACCACATCCTCAAACAAGAAACTCTGCGGCCACACGCGATCCGCATGGATCCCCTTTTCGCGGAACGCAGATATCATGTCGGACGCGTATTGAGCCTGAGTGTAGTTTCCAAGAAAGGGCATGGGGACGGCTGCGGGTGGTGTTTTTAACTCGGGAGTGAAGTTGCGGTAGCCCGGGTAGGAGTCTACGAGGTCGATGTATTGGTTCAAAGTGAGGGTCTGCGCGCAGGTGTCGTAGAGTTCTGTGCGCCAGAGGGGGGTGCCGGCTTGGTAGGTGAGCGGGGTGGTGGCGGAGGCGTTGAAGCCGTCTTGTTTGCTGCAGAGGGTGGTGACTTTGTTTTGTTAGTAGAGGTTGGGGGGTTCGGGTCGTTGAGGTAGAGGTGGAGGACGTACATTCATCGATCGTGATGTCGGATGTACAGCATAATGCGTTCGCGGGACTCGTTGCATTCGCCGGTGTGAATGGCGTAGTACATTTTGCTGCTAATCCGGGCCTGAGCAGGATATCTGTTGTTCGGTGTAGATCGCATAGATCGTGTCTGCACACCAATCCCCTGTCGCTTGTGAAAGCTACATCACATTCCAAGATACCAGCGCCCATCCGCGCACCAGCATCTTGTGACCGGATCGACTCTTCTGGGAATTGGAGTGTTCCTCCGCCGCGGTGGCCGATTGTGAATGGAGAGATGGAAACCGGAGTGTTTTCACACGACTGGAGTTTCCGCTTCAATGGACTATCAGTCATATTGCTGATGATGTAGTATGGCCGAGGACCGACGGAGACGAGGTAGTCGGTTGCATTTTCGAGAGGTGTATGATGGTGCTTGCTAACAGCAGGATAGCCCAGAGCTGTAGCAGCGAGACCCAGTACCAGCAATTGGCTCATATTGACGAAGAGAAGATAAATTCTTGTAGGAACAAAAAGACGACAAAACCCAACACACCACCCTCAACCCCAGCCAAAGCCATCCATCTTTTATACCCAACGCCGTCAGCTTGCTCGAGCTAAACACCCTTCCCCTACGTCAACAACGCGCCCATTCCACAACCCTAGCCATAAGCTGCAGAAACGGACGCATACTAGCCATCCATCCATCCCATGTGCGCGGCACGTAGTGGGATATGCCCCAGTCGCCAAAGCTTGATATAAAGCTTGCGTGAGCTTGCTCGAGCTTCATCAGCGGCCGCGCCCCGTGAGGAAAGCTTAGTGTGACCAGGAATCGTGGAGGGTACGGACGGGTTAAAGTCACACGTGGGCAGGATAGGCGGATGTGGTTCAACGCGCGCGCAGGTGTAATCGGTTGGGATTGCGCCAATCGATTAGCGCATGTGGGGCGGGGCGCATGCGTGTGGGTTGGTGCGTCCCCGCGTGTCAACCCGCGAACGGCGATGTGGTATGCGCAGAAGAATTGTTCTAGTGCAACAGCCATTGTGGTCGTGAGTACACGATTCGGGGCTCTGGATGCGAGGACAATAACGTTGCGAAGCGCAGCTTGAGTTGCTTCTGTATGCACATTGCGGAATGCAGTCAACTACCCAACTTCCATTCTATCAACCTACTTCTCCAACCTCGCAGCCCTGCTTTCGTCCCTCCACCACTCGCATTGACGCCTCCTGATCGCATCTCCCTCCACCCTGCTATTGCCAAAAGCCTCCATCCTCAACTGCAACCCCGGCCTACCCTCGCCCTCATCCTCATACTTTGGCCAAACCGGTACACCAGTCCTGTTCCCTGCATTTGGATCGCCGAGCGCAACAAAGTCGGAGAAGTACGCATTGAGGAGCTCCTTTCCTACTTCTGGGTACTGCACACCACCGCTGCCGGCGGGTTCCGCCCATGTGTACTTTGTGTCGGCCGTGTGGGGGATACCTTTCCAGGTTGGGAATGTGTTGTTCACGGCGAAGACCATTTTGTAAACGGGAACTGAGGCAGACGACATGCGCATGGCGGTTTCTTGGCCAGCGCAGACGTACATGTAGTCGGTAAGCGCGGCGGAGAGGCGGTTGTATTGGGTGGAATTAGGGCTGTGGGCGTAAGGGCCGTTGATGTCGTCCGCTGGGTCTGGGTATAGCTCCTCGAGATCAGATAGGTCGTCGGTGGTCAGACCAGGAATCAGGTTCTTGATGAAGGCGAGGAATTCTTCGTTGGTGGAAATGTCGCCTGGGGAGTAGTACTTGGCTTCATCGACAACGTTGGTGGTGATGGTGGGGATGCGGTAGAATTGTTCGTTGATTCCGGATGTCGAGCCTGCTTGTTCAAGGAGAGGGCCACCTCGCGTGGGTTGGAATGGCCACGTGATGGGGTATTCTGAAGCGCGCCACAGCAGAGCGCTGGCGTTCTGGATCGCATCGATGGGCACTGAACGTAGGCAGCTAAGGATTTCGGCATCGGTGCTGTTGGCTACTGCGCTGCATCCTGTGTAGCCAAGATATTGCGCAAACTGGTCCTGGTACAACGGGTACGATGCATTGGGGAAAGCTCGAGCAGTCACACTGCCGGACTGGAGAAGAGCCTGCGAGAAGAGCGCCGGTGCGCCCTCGGTTTTGTTGTAGTTGTGGAAAAGATGGATGCCAACTGAGTGCGCACCAGCTGAGCGACCTCCGATAGTGACGCGAGAGGCGTCGCCTCCAAAAGCCGAAATGTACTTTTGGACGAATTCGAACAGGGTTTCCTGATCGCGGAGTCCGAGGTTGAGAAGTCCTTCGCGCTCAAAGACTGGAGACGGGAGGAAACCCAGAGAGTTGACCTGGATGACATTAGTCTGAGTCGTGTACGAACGATAGCCACACTTACCCTGTAGTTGAAAGTGACAACAACAAGCGGTTCCCTAGAGTTAGCCACGAAGGAAGCGCCATCGAAGCTCCTCGCGCTTCCAGCAACGAAGCCACCCCCATGAATCCAGATCAGCACCGGTAGTTCCGCATCTTCCGCAACGCCCTGCGGCCGAAAAACGTTCATGCTCAAACACGCCTCATCCAGTTCATACGGGAGCTCGTCTGGATCCTGGAAGCACGAGTATCCATAACTGCTCGCATTCTTGACTCCGTCAAAAGGCTCTGGCGCGCCAACAGGCGCAAACCTTGCCTCTCCAACAGGCTGAGATGCATAATCGATACCGAGCCAGGCATCTACAGCGCGCGGTAGAGGCTTCTTCGTCAACGTTTGCGAGACCGTCGTGCCGGCAAAGGTACCATAACCAGGAAGCGTGACTTGAGATGATGTAGTGTATGTAGCCGTTACGCTCGTAAGCAGCGCGAAGCTGGTGAGTAGTCGCTGAGCCATGCTATTGTGGCCCATGATGGCGTCGATGCGGGAATGTAGAATTGACGTGACGCGCTCGCACAACGCTGAAGCTATGTCCAGCGCCATGGTGGAAGCTCAAATACCAACATCCGACGTATGCTATACTTCCGAGATCGGTCGTATACCTTGCGCTGCGTTGCATTCGCATCGACGTTCGTCTCCACTCCCGACTCCACTACCCCACAGTCCACCTAGTAATCAAGGGCGCGATGGTCTTGGTACCTGCTACATACGGCTGCGTACGAGTCGAACGCGGAGATACGCGTTGTGTCGGCTGTTATCTGGCATCGGTAATTCGTCGGCACTTTATCTGACAGCCGATCGGATGGGATCCGACGATGACGGATGTTGATAAGTGAGGGCGGATGCCGATAAGTGTGGTGTTGGGACGATGCAGATTGCGCGAGCGGAGGTTTGCCGAGCGCGGAAAACGAAAGCCCGGGAGCCGAGCACCCCAAGCCATGACGGTATCGATGCCAAAGAGGCGGGTTGACCATCACAGTCGACCATGGTTTTCGCGATGATTCACTAGAATGCGGTCCTGCCAGTTGGTTACGCATTTGCTTGCCTGCTCTGGTACACTGGTGTCGGAGATATGTGTCATATTGACATGGCCTCAGACATACTGAGCCTTCAAAGGGCATGGAAGAGCTCCTGCTATCTGTGCCAACGCAAAGTCTGTCTCGAACAGTCTTCTGTCGTCTTTCGCACACACAAGGATGGCCCCGGAGTATTGTTCGCTAGAACCCGTGACTATCTTATGTGCGCCAGTCTCCAAGCTGATTGCAGATGTCCTAGATGCCTACTTCGATTTCTTCAATTTGTTCAATACCCATATTTGGTGTGGACTTAGTGAATTCTTTGAGAACTTCACTTTTGCGTTCGACTCGTCCAGCTGCGCGCAGAATCCCCTATCATTTTTGGATTTCTGAATCAAGCTGCTCCCGAAACTGGAGTGTTTGTAAGAGGCTGGGTTCTCTATCCGAAAGATGAGTGATCCTCGTTTGTTAGGTAATAGATGGTGAGGTAGTCCTTGCTCTTTCAAATGCAAGAACCTCTCTGTCACGGGCCCGTTTGCATGTAGCAATATCATTTTACCATCGAGATTTTGGACGTTCCTCTTCCAGCCTTTCTTCTTTTCTGCTGATGTAAGGTGGATCGTATGGACCATATCTGCATAAAGATGCTGGAATAGCAGATGTGGTTTCTACGAAGCATCAGTATGTCAAATTCGTGTCTCAGGATTTGAACACTTACATGTCGAATTTTGAACAAGAGGAAGGTTCCATCCCATTGAGATGGGTCCGTTTGCACAGCATAGCAGATCCTATCTTTGTCGAGCACTCCCCGCTTGATCTGTAGGCTGATCACGATGTCTTCGAAAGACTTCGAATCGTGGGACCCTGAATTGACAGTATTCCGCCGGAGCGTGAATTGCTTGCTCGTCCCTGTGAATACCTCTTCAAGAGTCACATAGACATACTCCCAGAACACATATGACGCTATTGCCCACGGCTTATTGTGGCAAAGTGTTGGCCCGACCCAGCACCTATCTTGCTCGTCAAAGCAATATAATTCTCCGTATTTCACGACAGTACTTTGTGACCCTTGACAGTTCCTTAGGTCGATGAGCGTGCCTTCATGTTCAGCTGATTTGGATGAGTTTGCGCGCTTGCTACTCGTCTGGTATATGAGTGCTTGTTGTTCGAAATCAGAGATAAAACGCGGAGTAACGCCACCGTCTGGAGCCTTGTGCGCCTCCAGAGACTTTTGCACACCCTCAGGCCGACTATTTTGCTCATCCGTGTCAGACCCGTCGCCTGAAGATTCAGGGCTGTCGCCACGTACGTGACTGTCGTTTCTGAGTGAATCGGTGTTTGACGGCTCTTGTACGCTACATGTGTCCGAACTGTTGCTCCTTGACGTGTCATCATCCTCGATAGCGGCGTCATCATTGTCAGGCATCGATAGCGGTTGTGAGGTTTCCAGGTGTACTCTTTCCACCCAGGAGTGGACTTCATATGACACGTCAACATCAACTTCCGTCATATTATCATTGAGGACCTCGTCTTCCAACGCCACCACATTTTCCGAGTTCATGAACGTTGTCGCATCACGCCTGCCCGCAAGGACGTCCAAATGTATTCGATCCAGTTTGGCCCGAATCTCCAGGAGCGACAGGTAATGCGCCTCAGTATTCCTCTCGATTCTCGAAAACGTGCCGACGTTGATGCCGGTCAGCAGCTGTTGCAACCGAACACTATGCGTCGCTATCTTCTCCCGAATCGCCGCCTGTTTCCCGGTCGTAAACGCCAGTCTATCTCGGTACCGCGCATCGCGTTTGTCGAGCGAGCGGAAGTCATGTAGTATCTTCTTGACCGAGCGGAGGTCGGCTTTGCAGTCTTGCAAGCGCGCAGCGAGCTCGCCTTTCTGCGCGGGGGAAAGCTGCTGGAACGAAGACTGTGGGTTCTTGCATTCATCATCTAGAGCGAGGAGGAGTGTGCGTAAGGAAGCCACTATCAAGCGCTGCGTCAGGATTTGCACGAACTGTACTGGCCTTAGCGAAAGAGAACTCACCATCTGAAGTGATCTCCCTGAAGTTGTCCCCAGCGTTCTTACACGACTTGTAGACTGAGTACGCGTAGTTGCCCACTAGGACGATGTCACCGATTGAAAACCCAAAGCCTGACATTGCGTGGTGTACACGAAGTGACGCTCAAGCCATGAGGATGAGCGTTAGAGGTCATTCTCAGGTCCGGTCAAGGCTGTGTCACAACCGATGTGCTGCGGCGAGGCTGAAGGATTGTGGCGGGGTTGTTCGTGCGTTAGCGCCACGCGAGCGCCTTCACCACGTTCAAGGACCTTGGGAAGACCCGGACACCTACCTCCCAGAAGGCCACCTAGATATATTATCCTAGGACTTCATCATAGAGAGTTATCTGGTCGCGCTGTTTTGTCCCGCTCTGCATGAATGTCAAGCTCACTACAGAGCAGGACCAATCTGAAAATCATGGAAGTGTGTCGGATAGTGCCATTGCTCTCGAATCCAGATGTGCAACTGATACCGCGCTTACAGCAGAAGTCGTGACCAACAAATTTTGAATGATATGCTACAAGCCCAAACCCTAGAAAGATGTCCAGGAGCCTCAGCTGCTTTCCCAATGTCCCATGACCGGAAGTAACGCCACGTAATAAACCTATACACAATAAATTCCCCACCCACCTATCCCCATCTCCCTCCCATCTCCCTCACCACCTACCCCCTCCCCCCCTCACATCTCCCCCCTAACTCCCCCCATCAAACCCCCTATCCAACTTCTTCAGCGCCTCCTCCACCTCCACGGCCCTCTCCTCCCCACCCCTGAGTCCCTGCAACCTTGGCAGATTATGCATAACGCGCTCCACCATCTCCTCCAGTGCTTTAGGATCGCGCACACCACCCCCTGCACCCGTCATCGTACCGCCAATCCCACCTAGCGCGGTAGCGCGCATGTTATCCCACACGGCTTGGGCGGAGTCTGACTTGGCTTTGCCTTTGGTGGTGGTATTGCCAGTATTACTTGCACTGCCAGGATTGCCATTGCCAGTACCGTTGGTGTTGTTGCCCATGTTTTGACCACCCCCATTATCTGTCCCCTTCGTCAGCTCCGTATTCTGAATCGGCAGTTGCTGCTGGTGCTGGTGCATCATATGCGACGCCGAAGACTGGGGCACATGTTGACGTTTCCTCAGCATGACCTGGCCTTGTTTGTCCATGTAGGTTTCGTACCCTTGTTGGTCGAGCACTTCGTCGGGGACGCGGACGTTGACTGGTGATCGGTTGCTGCTGGCCCCAACACTACCATGACCACTACCACTGCCACTGCCACTTCCGCTGCTCTCGCCCGGAACAGCAGAGTTCGAGTTTGCATGTGGGCTTGATGTCGCTGCAGGAGCGGCAGGGGCCTTAGCTTTCGCATTGGCATCTTGATTATACTTCTCCAGCGCGTGAATACGGTCTTGATTCTCCTTATTCCCTTCCATTAGAAACCGAAGACACATTATAGCGTGTTCGCGGATGTAAGGGTTGTGTTCGTCGTAGGAGCAGCAGTTCAACACCGCCTCAATACCACCCAATGGCCGTATCTGATCTTGAACATGCTTGTTCTTCCAGACCAGGGAGCTGAGGACGAGGACGGCGAGCTTCTTCAGGTTGCGCCACTCGAAGTCTGAGGGTTCGTCGGCTGCTTCGTCCATGTAGGGTCGGGGGGATGGTGAGGTGGGTGGAGGGATGTAGGCTTCGGCTGCGCCGGCTGTGGTGTCGTATGGTCGTTCGACAGCGACTGGTTGGGGTTGGGGTGGCTGTTGTTGGTCTTGCTGCTGGTGCGACGGAGGGATGTGGACCTCTACTGGGGCTGGAGGTGGTGGCGCGTGCTGGACATTCCTCAGAGGAGGCGGCGATAGCTGACCCTTGGGTATCGCTGCGTCCAGTTCTTTCAGTAGGGTGACCAGTTCATGTGAGATCTCCCAATTGCTCAGCATCCTCTTCCACGTCTCGTGCTCTGTGAGAATAGCGAAGAACTCTAGGTACTGGTAAACGCCCTCATACATGCGTTCCATGTCCCACAGATTAAGAGGGAAGTCCTCGGGTTGTGCATGTCCCGCGCGGATTTGGCCTTGCAGGAAGATGAGGGCACATGTCTGGGGGATGATATGGCGACGAAACTCGGTAAGTAGGAAGTTGACCATGTGGACATCGCCTTGGTCGACTTGAGGGTGATTAGCCTTCAGATGGCCCTTGGTGGGTTGAGCACGGGCCTGTCTGGCGCGGAAGATATTTGTGAGAAGCTTCATGATGACTGCCTGAGCCGGAGAGATGATGTCCTTGGATCTGGCGTAATGTTAGTTAACGTCCGTGTTTCTAATGGGTATACTTACTCAGACTCTCTAAAGGCGTGATAAGCAAACGGCAGTAGCTGGTTCGCAAGAATAGCCTCCATGATCTTGACCATGAACTTGAAGTACAACTCTTCCTCGCGCAGATCCCAAGCAGCAACAAAGATCAACAACTCGCGCAGCAGATTCCGGCCATTGTCCTGCGCAAGAAGTAGATGACAACGAACACCATGCATGCTCCTGACACTGCTGAAAACAGTCGGGTCAGAGTGATGACCAGGCTGTCCCTCCGTAGGCTCAACGATTCCAGCCATGATGATCATAGGTAGAACCTCAATCTCAGTAGGACCCAGAATAAGCGGAACATCTGTGAGCAACCCTCGGCCTTCATCACCAGGTATGTCATCGTAGTCGTCATCATTGTCATCGTCATCCTCTGGCGGAGGAGAGGTAGGAGACGCTACGTCACTGATTAGCCCTGATGGACGGTCGGGGTCTGGCTCCAGCCGCTTAAGCAGATCTTCTTTGCCATTTTGGAGAATCTCCGCACCGAAGGATGGCGGGTATGTCACACGGAAATCGATCTCACCTGCCGGGGGAGACCGTTTGATGCTGGGATCTAGTAACGAGTCATCCAATGCTGGTTTCGGGGATTGCTTCTCCGCTGTGGGTTGGGATGCTTGCTCGCTGTTGGACTCGTCGCCAGGTAGAGCTGTGATGGATGACCGCATCCTGTCGACCTCCACTTGGAGTTGGTTGATGCTTTTCGCCAGTGCTTGTACACTTTCTTCGTTCTTGGCATGCTGATCCACGACTTTGCGGTATGTGCTGGTTTGAGTGATCTGATCGCGATATCGGGCAACGACATCTGCATAGAGCATGTTCCATTTCTGAAAGTGTTAGCAGGAATCAGGTCACACGACAGACGTAACCTACGTTCTTCTCCTCTTCACCCATGGTCTGCCACCTCCGCCTGCACTCGGCCGCAATTTCATTGGCACCTGCCTTGACACCATGATGTATCAGCGCCTTCTTGACGTCGTTGCCAGTCTCGCCAATGTAGAGCAGGAATGGCGAGGACGCAGGCTGTTGAGGAATCTTGAACGCGTCCAGACTTCGCGCTGCATGAGTCGGCAGAGGCTGCTCCTCCGGTGGCGGGCCTTGATCTTGTTGTGGAAACTCGTCCATTTTGTACTTCATGTCTGCGAAGTTGGGCAGTTCATTGTCGAGATGACTGTCAAATAGTTCGATCCAGAGCATCAGTTTCCGCTGCTCGTTCCGCGCGATGAGATTGTTGAGGAACTGCAAACAAGTGATGAGGAGCTTCTTGTAAGCATTGATGACGCCCTGCCATTTGTCTTCGTCCTGGGTTCCAGCCTCGCCATCATACCCCCGCGCCGTGACGCGTACGCAGACATTGATCAATGCAAAAATGTCCTTGTCAAAGAGCCTGTCTGCACTCAAGTTCTGCACCCTCTCGCCATGTACCTGCACATTCCTTGCAATGCACACGAGCTGATTCAGCCGTTCCAGATCCCTAAGCAGACTCGGTGAATAGCTTGCGATGAGCGGACCCGACAGACCCTCGTATTCAGGCGCAGCAGGATCCGGCGCAGCGAAACAGCGGCGTTCGAGCGAGGGGATAGCAGCTTTAAGCACGCCCGCGAGATCGTCCCAGAACTCCCACGAGAGGCCGAGTTCTTCGCGCAACTCGAGGCTCTTGCGCGACTCTTCCAGCGTCTTCTTCACCACGTCGCGCTCTAGCATGCGCAGTGTATCGTCCCGGACATAGCCGGGGTTGTGGAAATGAACGGTATAGGGCGCGAGCGCGAGGCGTAGTCGGGTGAGGTAGGGTCGCGCGGTCATGCCGGACGAGCTCTCGGGCCGCTCCGAGTCGCTCACGCTCTCCGTGTCGTTGATGCTGCCTTCGGCCATTTGGGGCTCCGTCTCAGGCTTCATGTCGGGCGGTGATGGCGCGCGGCGGTCCCAGTCATTCCACAGTTGGTGCTCGGCGAGTAGCGATCGGTAGACCCATACACGAATGGGCCCGGGTGCGCGGAGGATGCGGTAGACGTTGTTGGAGGCCAGTTTTTCGACTATGTTGTGGTATTGCGCCAGCGCTATGGGTGCAAAGGCGAGGTGGGCAGTCTCTTTGCCCGTGTCTGCAAACGGCGAGGGGAGATGCAGAGCAGCAGGCAGCGAATCGGAGTGCGTGGAGGAGCCAGAGTCGGAGGTCATGATGGCGGCGGCGTTGACCAAAAATTTACAATCGCCTCAAGACGTTGCCCCACCATGCATGATCCCCCGCCATCTGACGTACCCGGTCAAGCAGGTGGTTGCGATTGCCCAACTATTCAAAGGTCCATGGCAAGCATCCCTGAGATTCCATTTCATTGCATTCACGTGTTCACTCACATCAAAATCATAAAAAGTCGATTTGTGACATTTTTCATTCATACCAATAGTGGCATCATCTATATGTACGGAGCATATGAACCTCGAGTAGGCATAGTATTTGGCCCGGCGAGTCTAGTGGTACCGCTTGTCTCAATCTTGGAAGCAATGTAATGTGGTCATGATACACGGTAATAGTATCTCCCACGGACATGAATTGTTCCGTTGGCAAAGCCTTTCAGCTTTGCGCTGTGCCGTTAGGCATGCACGCGTGACCCTCACAAGGGTCGGCGGTGAAAGTGTAGAAAGGGAACGACGATGAGAACGTGGTGGCGACGTTATACGGAGATATTACATACCCTCGGCCTTGAGTCTAGCCGCCATGAAACGGCTCACCTTTTTGGTCTTGCCATCTCGTTCTTC